TACTGGTTTGTACTGGTTTGTACTGGTGTCTCACCCGCAGCCTCCGCAGCGCTCCCAGCCCCCCGGGCACTGCTCTCAGCTCGTTCCCGCGCAGCTCCAGCCGGGTCAGCGCGGCCATGCGCTCCAGCAGGGGCACGCTGCTCAGGCCCTAAACCAGTATAGACCAGTATAAACCAGTATAAACCCCTACAAAGTCTCCTAAACCAGTATGGACCAGTATGGACCAGTATGGACCAGTATGGACCAGTATGGACCAGTATGGACCAGTATGGACCAGTACAAACCATTTAAACCATTTTAAACCAGTATAAACACTTCTAAACCAGTCCAAACCAGTTCAAACCAGTCCAAACCAGTCCAAACCAGTACAAACCAGTAACCCCCAAACTCCCTCCCAGTATAAACCAGTACAAACCAGTAACCCCAAATCCCCAGCTCCAGCCGGGTCAGCGCCGCCATGCGCTCCAGCAGGGGCACGCTGCTGAGGCCCTAAACCAGTATAAACCAGTATAAACCAGTATAAACCAGTATGAACCCCTACAAACTCTCCTAAACCAGTATGGACCAGTACGGACCAGTATGGACCAGTACGGACCAGTATAAAAAAAAATCCAATTTTTCCCCATTTCCCCCCATTTTTAACCCTTTAATCCCCTCCCAGTTCCCTCACAGTCGAAACCAGTAACCCCAGCCCCCAAACCAGTACAAACCAGTACAAACCAGTTACCTTGTCGGCCAGGCTCAGCCCCTCCCCCGCTCCCAGTACGGCCAGCGCGGCCTCGAAGCGGGACCGGACGTCGGCCACGAAGCCGGAGCGCAGCGGGTCCGCGGCCTGACCAGTACAAACCAGTACAAACCAGTATAAACCAGTATAAACCAGTATAAACCAGTATAAACCAGTAAGGATTAAAAAAACCCCGCTCAAAAGCACTGGGGGGGGGGGTTTCCCAGTATAAACCAGTATAAACCAGTAAGGATTAAACAAACCCCGCCCAAAAGCAGTGGGGGGGGTTTCCCAGTATAAACCAGTATGGACCAGTTAGGGCAGAACAGCCCAGATGCAGACTGGAAGGGGCTGAAGCCATCCCAGTATAAACCAGTATAAACCAGTATAAACCAGTACAAACCAGTAACCCCAAAACGCCCTCCTAAAAGCCCCCAAACCCCTCCCAGTATAAACCAGTATAAACCAGTAACCCCCCAAAATCCCTCCCAGTGGTTCCCAAGAGCCTCCAACCCTCTTCCAGTACAAACCAGTCCAAACCAGTACAAACCAGTATAAACCAGTACCCCCAGAACTCCCTTTAAAGAGGCTCCCAGTGGCCCCAAACCCCTCCCAGTATAAACCAGTATAAACCAGTAACCCCCAAAGCCTTCCCCGCCCACCCCTGAACCCCTTGCAGCCCAAACCAGTATAAACCAGTATAAACCAGTATAAACCAGTATAAACCAGTATAAACCAGTTACCCGCAGGTTCTCCAGGTGCTCCCGGATCTCGCGGGCGCGGCCCCGAGGCTCCAGCGCCGCCAGCAGCAGGGCCAGGGTCAGCAAACAGCCTGGGACCAGTATGGACCAGTATGGACCAGTATGGACCAGTATGGACCGGTACGGACCAGTACAAACCAGTATGGACCAGTATAAACCAGTATGGACCAGTACGGACCAGTATTTGGGGGTGGTTTTGGGATATTTTGAGGGTGGTTTTGGGGGTTTTTTGGGTATTTTGGGGTTATTTTCGAGGTATTTTGGGGGATTTTTTTGGGGCATTTTGGGGTGATTTTTGGGGTATTTTGGGGGCATTTTGGGGTTATTTTTGAGGTATTTTGTGGGATTTTTTGGGATATTTTGAGGGTGGTTTTGGGGTGATTTTTGGGGTATTTTGGGGGTGTTTCTGTGATGTTTTTTAGTGTGTTTTGGGGGCATTTTGGGTATTTTTTGGAGTATTTTGGGGGTGTTTTTTTGGGTATTTTGGGGGTGTTCTTGGGGTATTTTTGGGTTTATCTAGGATTGGGTCTGGGCGTTTTTTTGGGCATTTTTTGGTGTATTTCGGGGTGGGTTTAGGATTTTTTTGGGGTGTTTTGGGGTTTTTTGGGCCGTTTTTTTTGGTGTATTTTGGGGCTGGGTTTAGGATTTTTTTGGGGTGTTTTGGGGTTTTTTTGGGCCCTTTTTTGGGTGTATTTCGGGGGTGGATTTAGGATTTTTTTAGGGTGTTTTGGGGTTTTTTTGGGCCCTTTTTTGGGTGTACTTTGGGGGTGGGTTTAGGATTTTTTGGGCTGTTTTGGGGTTTTTTTTGGCCCTTTTTTTGGTGTATTTCGGGGGTGGGTTTAGGATTTTTTTGGGGTGTTTTGGGGTTTTTTTGGGCGTTTTTGGGGTGTATTTCGGGGCTGGGTTTAGGATTTTTTTGGGGTGTTTTGGGGTTTTTTTGGGCGTTTTTTGGGTGTATTTTGGGGTGGTTTTAGGATTTTTTTAGGCTGTTTTGGGGTTTTTCTGGGCATTTTTTTGGTGTATTTCGGGGTGGGTTTAGGATTTTTTTGGGGTGTTTTGGGGTTTTTTTGGGCGTTTTTTGGGTGTATTTCGGGGCTGGGTTTAGGATTTTTTTGGGGTGTTTTGGGGCTGTCCCGGGGCCGTTTTTTGGGGTTTTTTGGGGCTCTCACCGCGGCTCTGGGGCTCGAGGTCCAGCAGCTCCTGGCACATCTGCACCTGCTCCTGCAGCACCTGAGCGTCGGCCACGCCCAGCTCCGGCCTGGGGGCGGGGCCAGCAGGTGAGGAGGGGCGTGGCTTGTGGGAAAAGGGGCGTGGCTTACGAAAGGGGGGGCGTGGCTCACCAGAACAGCTCCCTCTCCACTATTGGCTCCTGCCACCAAGCCTCGGCCTCACCTGGGCGAGAAAAGGGCGTGGCCAGGCGATGAAAGGGCGTGGCCAGAAGTGGGCATGGCCATAGAAGGGGGGGCGTGGCCTCACCTGGCAGCAGCGTCACCTCGTGGAGGGCGGAGTCAGGCGCCCAGGTGACCTCCACGCGGGCGGGGCCCTCGGTGGGCAGGGCAGGGAGGTCGCAGAGCTGATGTCACCTGTCAAGGTGTGCTCGGTGTGGTGGCCACGCCCACCCCCAAGCCACGCCCACCCCAGGCCCCGCCCTCCTGCCTTCAGGGGGAGGATACCCAGGTGTGGCTGGGGCGTGGCCGCCCCTCCGCCGAGCGCCAGGGCCCGGCCAGGGCGGAGCCGTCCAGGGTCGCCGTCAGCTCTGGGCACTCCGGGTTCACCTGGCGGGGGGGGAAGCACAAAGTTTTGGGTGTTTTCCCACCAAAAACGGGCAATTTCCAGGCCTAAAATTGGGGTTTTTTAGCAGGGAAATGTTTGGGGCGTCGGGGGATGGTGGGACAACAGGTCTACCCATTGAAGTCAATGGGGATCAGATCTTCCCGTTAGCGAGGCTGGATCGTGAAGGCTTACTGGTTTAAACTGGGAGCACTGGGGGAGGAAATGGAACCGCTGTGGGAACACTGGGAGAATTTACTGGGATGAAGGGGGAAACGGGACAACAGGTCTACCCATTGAAGTCAATGGGGATCAGATCTTCCCGTGAGCGAGGCTGGATCATGAAGGATTACTGGTTTAAACTGGGAGCACTGGGAAGGGCTGAGCACTGGAGGAGGAAATGGAACTGCTGGGGGTGATCTGGAAGCACTGGAGAGGGGGAAAACTGGGAACACTGGGAGAATTTACTGGGATGAAGGGGGAAATGGGACAACAGGTCTACCCATTGAAGTCAATGGGGATCAGATCTTCCCATTAGTGAGGCTGGATCGTGAAGGGTTACTGGTTTAAACTGGGAGCACTGGGAAGGGCTGAGCGCTGGCGGACAAATGGAACCGCTGGGGGTGATCTGGAAGCACTGGAGAGGGGGAAAACTGGGAACACTGGGAGGATTTACTGGGACACCAGGTCTACCCATTGAAGTCAATGGGATAAAGGAGACAGCAGGTTGTCCATCCAGTCAGAGAGACAGGGATTCAGGAAAACCAGTTTGGAGGGGTCCTTGGGAACACTGGGAGAATTTACTGGGACACCAGGTCTGCTCCATTGAAGTCAATGGGATAAAGGAGACACCAGGTTGTCCATCCAGTCAGAGAGACAGGGATCCAGGAAAACCAGTTTGGAGGGGTCCTGAAGGGTTTTGGGTGATCCAGGTGATTTTTTAGGACACCCAGGTGATTTTGGGTGCAATCCAGGTGCACCCCGGTGATTTTTGGGGTAGCCAGGCGTCCCCGCTCACCTTGACAAGCCGGGAGAAGATGACGGCCAGCGTTGCGTCCTCGCGGTCCACGTGGACACAGATGACCCTCGGGGGTGGTGGGGCTGTCAGGGGGCACCCAAACCATCATGGGGCACCCCAAAACTCCAGGTGAGAGCCTCAGGGGCGGGAGGGAAGCCCGGGTTACCTCGGGAGAGGATGCAGCGCAGGTACACCCAGGCGCTTTGGTCCGTGGGGTCGGTGAAGACGGCATTCTGCACCAGCTCCAGCTCTGGGGGGGGCAAAGGGGGCACCCCAAAATCTCACAGGGCATCCCAAAGTCTGAATGGGGACGCCCAGGTGTGGGGGAGGTCAGGTCTGACTAGTGAGGGCAATGGGGGTTGTAGGGACAACAGGTCTACCCATTGAAACCAATGGGACAACAGGGACACCAGGTCTACCCCATTAAAGACAATGGGGGTTTTGGACAACAAGTCTACCCCCATTGAAACAAATGGGATAGTAAGGACACCAGGTCTACCCCCTTAAAGTCAACGGGGATTTGGAGCCAATAGGTCTACCCCATTAAAGTCTATGGGAAATTCTGGACACCAGGTCTACCCCTATTGAAACCAATGGAGATTTGGGACACCAGGTCTACCCCCACTGAACCCAATGGGGATATTTGGACAACAGGTCTACCCCATTAACCCAAATGGAGACTTGGGACAACAGGTCTACCCCCATTCAAACCAATAGAGATTTGGGACAACAGGTCTACCCCATTAACCCCCATGGAGATTTGGGACACCAGGTTTACCCCATGAACCCCAATGGAGATTTGGGACAACAGATCTGCCCCCATTCAAACCAATGGAAATTTGGGACAACAGGTCTACCCCATTAATCCCAATGGCGATTTAGGACACCAGGTCTACCCCATTAACCCCAATGGCGATTTGGGACACCAGGTCTACCGCATTAACCCCAATGGAGATTTGGGACACCAGGTCTACCCCTTGAGCCCCGATGGAGATTTGGGACACCAGGTCTACCCCCACTGAAACAAATGGGCATATTTGGACATCAGGTCCACTCCATTAACCCCAATGGAGATTTGGGACAACAGGTCTACCCCTACTGAAACCAATGGGGATATTTGGACACCAGGTCTGCCCCATTCACCCCAATGGATAATTTGGACAACAGGTCTACCCCCACTGAAACCAATTGGGATATTTGGCTACCAGGTCTACCCCATTAACCCCAATGTAGATTTTGGACAACAGGTCTACCCCCCATTTAAACCTATGGAGACTTGGGACAACAGGTCTACCCCATTAACCCCAATGGGGATTTGGGACACCAGGTGTACCCCATTAACCCCAATGGAGATTTGGGACAACAGATCTACTCCATTAACCCCAATGGGGATTTGGGACACCAGGTCTACCCCATGAACCCCAATGGAGATTCGGGACACCAGGTCTACCCCATGAACCTCAATGGGGATTTGGGACAACAGGTCTACCCCATTAACCTCAATGGAGATTTGGGACAACATGTCTACCCCATTAACCCCAATGGAGATTTGGGAGAACAGGTCTACCCCCACTGAAACCAATGGGCATATTGGGACACCAGGTCTACCCCATTAGCCCCAATGGAGATTTGGGACAACAGATCTACCCCCATTCAAACCAATGGAGATTTGGGACACCAGGTCTACCCCATGAACCTCAATGGGGATTTGGGACAACAGGTCGACCCCATTAACCTTAATGGAGATTTGGGACAACAGGTTTACCCCATTAACCTCAATGGGGATTTGGGACAACAGGTCTACCCCCCCATTTAAATCTGAGATTTGGGACAACAGGTGTACCCCCACTGAAACCAATGGGGATATTTGGACACCAGGTCTACCCCATTAACCCCAATGGAGATTTGGGACACCAGGTCTACCCCATTAACCCAAATGGAGATTTGGGACAACAGGTCTACCCCATGAACCCCAATGGAGATTTGGGACACCAGGTCTACCCCATTAACCCAAATGGAGATTTGGGACAACAGGTCTACCCCATGAACCCCAATGGAGATTTGGGACACCAGGTCTACCCCGTTACCCCCAATGGAGATTTGTGACACCAGGTCTACCCAAGCCCCCCCAATCCCTCCCGTTTTTCGGGGCTCCGGGGTGGATTTTTGGGGCGTCGCTCACCTCCCTTCAGCCGGTCGGGGGTATTGAAACCTATGGAGATCTGGGACAACAGGTCTACCCCCACTGAAACCAATGGGGACATTTGGACACCAGGTCTACCCCGTTACTCCCAATGGAGATTTGGGACACCAGGTCTACCCAAGCACCCCCAATCCCTCCCGTTTTTCGGGGCTCCGGGGTGGATTTTTGGGGTGTCTCTCACCTCCCTTCAGCCGGTCGGGGGGCAGCGCCCCGGCCTCGCGCCGCCCGCGGCTCCGGGCGGGCGCCAGCAGCCGCAGCCGGTGGTGCCAGGCCGAGAAGTTGGAGAAGTCGCGGCTCAGCAGGGCCCCGGCGAAGGCCAGCTCGGCCTCGGGGTCCTGGCCGGCCGCCAGAGCCCGCCGGTGCTCCCAGGCGTGGACTGGGAGGGCACCAGTACAAACCAGTAAGGACTGGGAGCCGCCCCCGAGCCCCTGGGGCTTGTAACAGCAGCTCCCAGTATAAACCAGTAAGGGTTCGTGCACCCAAACCCCTTCTCGGCACACCCCAGGGGCTCCCAGTGCAGTGCAAGGGATCCCAGGTTCACCAGGTTTATACTGGGAGGGCACCAGTACAAACCAGTAAGGACTGGGAGCCGCCCCCGAGCCCCTGGGGCAGCTCCCAGTATAAACCAGTAAGGGTTCGTGCACCCAAACCCCTTCTCAGCACACCCCAGGGGCTCCCAGTATGGTCTAGGAGCTCCTAGCTTCACCAGGTTTATACTGGGAGGGCACCAGTACAAACCAGTAAGGACTGGGAGCCGCCCCCGAGCCCCTGGGGCAGCTCCCAGTATAAACCAGTATAAACCAGTAAGGGTTTGTGCACCCAAACCCGTTCCCAGTATGGTCTAGGAGCTCCTAGCTTCACCAGGTTTATACTGGGAGGGCACCAGTACAAACCAGTAAGGACTGGGAGCCGCCCTCGAGCCCCTGGGGCAGCTCCCAGTATAAACCAGTAAGGGTTTGTGCACCCAAACCCATTCCCAGTATGGTCTAGGAGCTCCCAGCCTCACCAGGTTTATACTGGGAGGGCACCAGTACAAACCAGTAAGGACTGGGAGCCGCCCCCGAGCCCCTGGGGCTCGTATGAGCAGCTCCCAGTATAAACCAGTAAGGGTTCGTGCACCCAAACCCGTTCCCAGTATGGGCTAGGAGCTCCTAGCTTCACCAGGTTTATACTGGGAGGGCACCAGTACAAACCAGTAAGGACTGGGAGCCGCCCCCGAGCCCCTGGCACTCGTAACAGCAGCTCCCAGTATAAACCAGTAAGGGTTCGTGCACCCAAACCCGTTCCCAGTAGGGGCTAGGAGCTCCTAGCTTCACCAGGTTTATACTGGGAGGGCACCAGTACAAACCAGTAAGGACTGGGAGCCGCCCCC